CAGCACAGCGAGCATGGATAGAGCATGCCCAGCTGCCGTATGCGGCTCAGGAGAAAGCGCGTATTCACCCTGGTGAGTACCTCCGATCTGTGTCATGATCGCGGACTGAGCTGTCACATTAGACGCCAAATACCGTGTTCAGGATTACAAGGTCCCGGTCGAAGGAGGGGAGATCACCGTTCGTGCAGTGATTCCGGGAACAGGTGACGAGGGACAGACATACCCTTTGTTGTTTTGGCTGCACGGTGGAGGTCAGTTCTCATGCGTGATCTTTTTTCTTGTGTTTTTAATTATCCCTTTCTAGGAATGATCGTCGGTAATGTCGATCAAGACGACTATTTTATGCGGAACCTTTCTACGGAGCTTCAAGTGACAACGCTGAACGTCGAATATCGGTTTGTCTCAGAATACCCTTCTCGTCCATTATTTTTTGGGTTCATCCCCTAGCTAAAAGCCTCGCGCCGGATCACCCGTTCCCGACTCAGTTAAACGACAGTCATGCGGCCTTGAAATGGGTGACCCTCTAGTTCTCCGGGATGTCCCTGCACCGCCTCTGAAATGGATCCAATAGGCTGTTGCGAACGTCGATGCACTTTCCGTATCTCTCAAGAAGGGATTCCTTCTTGGAGGCTGTTCAGCGGGGGGTACTCTCTCGGCGGGCCTTTCGATTCGCGTGCGCGATGACCCCTTGTTTTCCGATACTCCTGTCACTGGCCAGTACCTCGCTGCCCCGTTTTTGGTGCACGCCGATGCGTATTCTCGGTGGGCGCATTGTACTAGTCAAATTACGCGAATATGCTGATAGCAGGACAAGGTTCCCAAACGAGTTGCTTTCGTTGGAGCAAAACAAAGACGCTCCGAATCTGAACAAAGAACTAATGCTCTGGACTTGCAGTGAGGGCTCACGATCGTTCCGCAATCGCGTGGGATGATCACTGATCCCCTTTTTTTTTTTGGCAGAGACCATCGGGGCATCAGACCCCATGGATCCAGAATTGTCGCCCGTTCTGGCGAGTTCGCATGCCAACCTTCCACCTACGTTCTTCCAGGTTTGTGGGCTGGATCCGCTCCGCGACGATAGCTTCCTTTATGACCGCCTTTTGCGGGAAGCGGGGTGCAAGACGTTTGTAAAGGTGTACGTGCGATTCCTGCAGAGAGCTACAAGTAACTCTCTCTCCGCCCAAGTTTCCGTCTGATGAATTAGCAGTTACCCTGGTCTCCCACATGTCTTCCATGCGGATTACCCGACACTCAAATCTTCCGAACAATATCAGTCAGACATCAGAACCGGACTGCGATGGCTACTCGATGGGGGTAAAGACTCGTCTTGACTCGGAGCCGTACACTCTGTGGGAAGTAAGAATGAAAGCGGAGTAATATCCTCCGAGTCATCAGTGATTCAAATTCTATAGCGACGAATATAGTTCAGCACAAAGAGCCTGTCCTATTCCGCGATTCCATCCGGTGACCAGTGACACTGGGTGACTTCCCGTAGCCGGAGTTTTCTCCAGATTGCCGAGGTGCCGGACAAGCACGCTGCTCACATAAGCCTTTTCATGTTCCGACTCTTCCGACCGTGTCCTCCCCGCGTCAATTTGGGGAAATGGCATTTCCCCAGCCACATCACGCAAGGTCACATGTTCAAGCTTATTGGCCGAGCGCATGTTCTCTCTCGCACTTCTCATACTCGTCGGCGTTTTTGATTCCCCTCGCTTTGTTTTTCTTCGCAGACAGCGGATTAGCCCCTTCGCAGTTTGTCTTTCAGACGGTCATTTCAAGCCAAACGGCGGCTTTCGCATTCAGAAATGAGACAATGAGTGTCTGAGTGTCGATGAAGGTCTCGAATACGTTTGTTCTCGACCTCAATCGTACAAATCCGCGTTACTTCACCACAATCTTTGAGTTGACGTTAAAACTACCTCATTTTATTCTTTTACGCACCCCGCACCCTCTCGAGCAGCTACAACTGGCCGTCTGGTTGGCTCTGGGAGTCTTCGATGCCCTCCGACCCTCTCCCAGGCAAAACGCCCCTCCGAAGAGACATACACCCCCTCATGTAACACCAGTACCGCCATGAGCCCGCTGCACGTCTTTCCCTCGGCGTCCGGCGTCGTCGTCTCCTCTGTCGCACGTGGGACACTCCGCGAACGCGCGTCAATCTCCACAGGAGTCATATTGGTGATGAGTCGGGTGGCGAGGGCTATATGTTGCGCTCGGTTCGGACGTCCGAAATGCTGGAGAAATTCATGCGGGGTCATATCCAATCGACGGAATTCCTGTCGTTCGGACTCCTTGACTGGAAGTGACTCAGATACCCACTGCATGAAAACCCAAACCCCACTCCGGACGAATAGTTGTAAATGCCAGCAGTGCACCAAAGGTTTGAACAGCTGGAAGAGCGCAGCGACAAAAACAACCAGTGCACTATCACAATGCCCATGGCTAAGATATGCACCCTGCCCCCCATTACTATACCCTTGGCAATTTAATATTACAGTAAGTATTTAGTCGATGAATCTAAAGCCCGAAAATAAAAGGGCCTTCCAAAAAGAAAAAAATACCCCTTTCGTTCGCGCTGCTCTTTGGGCACATTCTCAGTGCGATGGCGCGGTGGAGGTCCGACACAGATGAACTCAAAGGCTTAACTGAGGCCGAGTCAATGCTGATCCTTCCGGCCGCCCGTTTGTGTGCAGCCCTTATTTATCTAGCGGTCAATCCGGGGGGTGACTCTCTCCACTATGCCGGAAAGACATCTAGTGAATTGGTGCGCTTCCTTCTTCCCCAGTTCCATTGAAATGCTAATCCACCCGCAATAGCAATCGATCACCGACATATTCAGGGAATACCCGTCAACCCAAGAGGCGCCCCACCGCATCCACCCTGTGCTTACAATCGTTGGTAAGAGGTGGAGGCGCGCGGCGCGTGAAGGCAGGCCCCCAAAGCTCGAAGACATCTCACTTGAGTCTGTCGAGAAGGGCTGCGCAGATCTGGCGAAGAGAGATCCAAACCAGCCCCCTGTTTTCTATTCCGCCGATCTGTCGACGCTCCTGGATCGGATTCCTAAGGTACAGCATTGGTGGAAGTCAAAGGCGAAGCAGGGTCAAGGTGGGTGGCTGTGTTTCCTCTCAGAGAGTGCTTCTGGTTCTTACACAACCGCCGTCGTCACCATCACATCCTGCACCTCCGCACCTCCGCCATAAACCCACGTCACCCCGCTTAGGTCGGTCGAACTTGAACAAAGAGAAGGCCAAGGGGAAGGCTTCCATACCCGCTGATGCCAACTCGGATGTCGATCCTCCGCCCCGCGGTCAACTGCCTCGTGGAACCAAGCGCTCGGCTGCGGCTGTGGCCCAGTCCGAGGAGGAGCCAGACGAAGATGACGACAGGGAAATTGAGGCCACCCCGTGGAAGGCAGGAAAGACCGTGGCCCACCGTGTACGTTTTCAATCCCCGGATGCTCCTCCCAAGCAGCGCCGCCGCCTTGGAGACAACCCTGACGTAGAGGAAAGTGATGACGAGCCGGTCGAACTGTGGGTAGCAAGAGGCGAGGTAAGTCCAGTAAAAACATTCGTGTACTCCTGCATACACATACTCTGTATAGGATCGCTGCGATGCATGCAAGCAGAGGAACATACGCGTCTGCGAGCCACAGTGGGGTGCCCCAAGGTCCTCCGCCTGCAAGACCTGTGCCAGAAAGAAACAGACCTGCCGCTCTACCAGAGTATGGCGGAACGAACTCGCTAATATGTTCCAGTGCAAACCCCAGGGGGCTCTCAGTGATCAAGGTAAGCCCGTGATGCTCCATATCTATCACGACATCTCTAACAATCCTATAGCGGAGGTCACAGAAGTCCCCGCACGACCTGCGGGTGGTGCGCCGGCGATCCAGGTAGATGACGTGCCACAGAGCGGAGAAGGTACATCTAGTAGATCAACTTATTGTATGTCCCTTATGAGTTTGCGATCCCCGACCCCCTTAGCAGGTACAGTAGCTGTGGGTGCAGGGCGCAAACGTGCAAAGGTCTCCAATGGTTGTGCAACACGCCTTCCATTGTATAGTACACATGCTGACCCTTCTTCAGCTGCCCCGCTAGTGGCGGACACCAACTCCCGCCTCTCAGCAATAGAGGCCAGTCTCGCTGCATTGAATGCGCGCCTCGACAGGACGGACAGCGATATCTCCGCCATTAAGGGACACCAGGAGAAGCAGGTAGAGAGCCTGGCCGCGCTCGAACGGACGCAGCACGAATTGAAGAAGATGGTCCTCATGCTGTGCGGCTACCATGCCATCGCCGCAGCACCAACCGCCCCTTCCGCCTCTACTTCGTCCACCGCCTCACATATTGTCGGATCCACAAACCCCTCAATTTACGTGGGCTCGTCGACCTCCTCTACGCAGTCTGGGCGAGTTGGTAAGTATTCTTTCCTATTTGAAGTCTCGTATTCATTTGACTTCCAGCAGCTCAATACCGTCCGCCGGCCGGCCGGAAATTTAGGACAAAGCGCGCGAATAGGTCTAGATTGCGCTCGTCGCCCAAATTAAATCGGCGGGCCTAAGTGCTCATGCAATATTCTATTGGTATTCGGCGCAGCAGGAAGCTCGTATGCGTGAACAGCTCCTTTCCGCAATATTATTCATAGCGATTATCTAATACTTAGGTCTAGCCTATCCTAATTTGTTTACTTACACCCAATCTCTGTGTTATAGAGAACGAATACCTTGACGAATACACCGTCGCCTTCCTGTGGATTTGGACTGAATCGTCTGTGTGATTGTGTGATTAACCTAGGGTGATATCTGACTGCCGCATGACCAACGCAATTCGACGCAGGGTGATGGATGGGAATGGTCGTCTCATTGGAAACTCGACCCCGGGAACGTACAGCGTCAAGAAACACGACGATAATCAAACGACAGAAACAAGACGAAGAATATTTTGGAAGAAGGTGAGGAGGTATGGATACGATGGAAGAGAAAATACTAGTGACCCGCAAAAATAAGACCCGACCGTGGTTCGAACACGGGACCGCACGATCTGCAATCGTATGCTCTACCACTGAGCTACCGAGTCGTCAATGTTCGTTTTGACACATACCATTAAATTCGACCGACGATATTAACAGAGAGTGACGCGTCGCGGGTGGACGCGTAACTCTGCAGCAAACCATCCACCATGGCCGATGTCGAAATGAAGGACGCGAAAACCAAAGGCGACGCCGCGGACGAGACCACAACCCCTTCGCCTCCCGCCTCGCCGGTTTCCGAGATTAAATCTAACGTTACACTCATCGAGAGAGCCGTCGCCACTCTCGAGCCGTGGTTTACTATCCGTGTCCTGCGCTCGCTGACTGCACTCCGGAAGCGTCTCGATGATAAGGCACTATCGGATGCCATTACGGAGGTATACCCTCATGGTGCGTGAATGCCGTTCTCTGGGGATTCTCCCCTCTTCATCCTTTGCAGATTCTCCGGTGAGAGCTTCTCTACTTTTGTGGCTCCCTGCCGCACCCCCTCCGGAAGAGTCCATGGAGGTCGATCCCGCTTCTCCGCCGAAACCCCCACCAGAGACCGTACCCGAAACCGAGATCTACTTCCGCCTTCTGATCCTGCACCACCTGCTTACCTCGCCAAGCTCCTACTCCGAAGCCATCGACCTCGCAAATGAGACTGTACAGAAGATACAATCTCTGAACCGCAGAAGCCTGGACCCGATTGCGGCCAGGGTCTGGTTTGCGCTTGAACGGGCTTACGAACTCGGTGGCGAGCTCTCTGATGCACGACCGTACGTATTTTGGCCTCCCTACCTTTCCTCGTTGACGCCCCTCTTTAGCCTGTTCCTTGCCGCCCAGCGAACCGCTTCCCTCCGCCACGATGACGAGACCCAAGCTTCGCTAATCAACCGCCTCCTCCGCAGTTACCTTCATTACAACCTCTACGACCAAGCCGACAAGCTGATCTCCAAAACGAATTTCCCCGCCTCCGCTCCCAATTCGCAATACGCTCGTTACCACTACTTCCTCGGCCGGATCAAGGCAGTGCAGCTCGACTACACCGCCGCGCACACCAACTTGCAACAGGCGATCCGCCGTGCACCGGCACCCAAACTCGCACCAGGGTTTTACCAAGCCGTGCACAAGCTGTTCGTGGTGGTGGAGCTCCTCATGGGCGACATCCCCGAACGCAGCCTCTTCCGGCACCCCGTACTCGAGAAGGCATTGCGTGGATACTTTGACATCGTCAAAGGTCCGCTTTTTTGTCGCGCAGGTCTCTTCCACCGAAGCTGACGCTGCCTACCTTAGCGGTTCGTACCGGTTCTCTTTCGCAATTCCAGTCGACGCTTTCGACGCACGCGGCTGGCTTCGAGGCCGACAAGACCTACACGCTCGTCGCGCGGCTGAGGCAGAACGTGATCAAGACGGGAATTCGCCGTCTCTCGCTCTCGTACTCCCGTATCTCGCTGCGCGACATATGCGTCAAATTGCATCTCGATTCTGAGGAGGACGCCGAGTACATCGTCGGTAAGGCGATCCGCGACGGCGTCATTGAGGGTCGCATCGTGCACGAGAAGGGCTGGATGGAGTGTGGTGGCCAGAAGACGGGATATGGCCCCGAGGTCAGCGAGATGTTCTCGCGGCGCATCGGGTATTGCTTGGAGCTGCACAACCAGAGCGTCAAGGTACGTTGCGTTTTGCAGTGCGCGTGTTAAATGAAAGTTCACCCCTTCGTAGGCAATGCGTTTCCCGCTTAATGCCCATAGGAAGGATATCGCGGATGCCGAAGGAGCTCGGGAACGGGAAAAGGAGCTAGCAAAGGAGATCCAGGACGGCGAAATAGACGAAGAAGATGCACTGGGTGGCGATTTTTGATCCCTTTGTATGTACAGTGTCACCAGCGAAAAACCTTTTTGAGGACAAATGATTTAGACGGCTCTAATCTGCAGTGAATAGTCACTGGTCACCGGATAGAATCGTGGAACAGAACAGGCTCTTTGTGCTGAACTATATTCGTCGCTACAGAATTTGAATCCAACAGAATACTCCGCTTTCATTCTTACTTCCAGTTCGACCGTCCCACGGAGTGTACGGCTCCGAGTCAAGACGAATCTTTACCCCCATCGAGTAGCCATCGCAGTCCGGTTCTGATGTCTGACTGGTATTGTTCGGAAGATTTGAGTGTCGGGTAATCCGCATGGAAGACATGTGGGAGACCAGGGTAACTGCTAATTCATCAGACGGAAACTTGGGCGGAGAGAGAGTTACGTGTAGCTCTCTGCTGGAATCGCACGTACACCTTTACAAATGTCTTGCACCCCGCTTCCCGCAAAAGGCGGTCATAAAGGAAGCCATCATCGCGGAGGGGATCCAGCCCACAAATCTGGAAGAACGTAGGCGGAAGGTTGGCATGCGAACTCGCCAGAACGGGCGACAATTCTGGATCCATGGGGTCTGATGCCCCGATGGTCTCTGTGAAAAAAAACAAAGGGATCAGTGATCATCCCACGCTATTGCGGAACGATCGTGAGTCCTCACTGAAAGTCCAGAGCATTTGTTCTTTGTTCAGATCCGGAGCGTCTTTGTTTTGCTCCATCGAAAGCAACTCGTTTGGGAACCTTGTCCTGCTATCAGCAGATTGGCGTAATTTGACTAGTACAATGCGCCCACCGAGAATACGCATCGGCGTGCACCAGAAGCGGGGCAGCGAGGTACTGACCAGTGACAGGCGTATCGGAAAACAAGGGGTCATCGCGCACGCGAATTGAAAGGCCCGCCGAGAGAGTACCCCCCGCTGAACAGCCCCCAAGAAGGAATCCCTTCTTGAGAGATACGGAAAGTGCATCGAGGTTCGCAACAGCCTATCAAATACATTTCAGAGGCGGTGCGGGGACATCCCGGAGAACTAGAGGGTCACCCATTTCAAGGCCGCATGACTGTCGTTTAACTGAGTCGGGAACGGGTGACCCGGCGCGACGCTTTTAGCTAGGCGTTGAACCCAAAAAATAATGGACGAGAAGGGTATTCTGAGACAAACCGATATTCGACGTTCAGCGTTGTCACTTGAAGCTCCGTAGAAAGGTTCCGCATAAAATAGTCGTCTTGATCGACATTACCGAAGATCATTCCTAGAAAGAGAGAATTTAAAACACAAGAAAAAAGAAGACCACGCATGAGAACTGACCTCCACCGTGCAACCAAAACAACAAAGGGTATGTCTGTCCCTCGTCACCTGTTCCCGGAATCACCGCACGAACGGTGATCTCCCCTCCTTCGACCAGGACCTTGTAATCCTGAACACGGTATTTGGCATCTAATGTGCCAGCTCAGTCCGCGATCACGACACAGATCGGAGGTACTCACCAGGGTGAAGACGCGCTTTCTCCTGAGCTGCATACGGCAGCTGGCCATGCTCTATCCATGCTCGCTGTGCCGCAGCGACGTCGACTGGCGGAGCCTCTAGGGATGCAGATCGATCGACCTTCTCCAACAAGGCAGCAAACTCGGGATCCGGCTTTGACAGGTGCGCGTACTGCGACATCGCGGTTTCACGTTACTCGATAACAGGGCCGTTTTTACACACGGTGCACAAATGTTTACAGTAATCATGATACGGTGATTGATGCTTCGGATGAGCGCTCGGGAAGACCGTGGAAATCGTGGCAGACTAAATTGGGTAACTTACTGTATCGGACCGGGTTCCACCAGAACTCCAACTGCACACTCTGCACAGCTTGAAGCCCTATGTCATTGCTGCGAATATATATCCATATGTTGACCTGCGTTCATCTCCTTACTCCTTATTTCCAGAGGTACACCAGTCACTCTCTTGCACAGCACTACCTCATTGGTTGGAAGGGATCTACACGGCGTGTGATTCGGTTGTTCTACTCTCAAACCCTACTAGTATTTCCCCCAAAGCAATAGGTTTCTTTCGTATGCCGTGAATTTTTACACAACATAGACCCACTACGCGTCGGAGAGTTCAGCACAGGGTATATGTGGAACTACATGTAGGTACTCTATCTCATGGTTCGTATTGGTTTCCGGGTTTCTAGGCCATGAGTGACTCGGAACTGACTCGTTCGTGATCTGAGTCCTCCGAATGCAGTTCAATGGGTCTCACTTTTACTACCACTTCTATACTCTCCTCAGGACCTTCAGGCTGACCTGGAGCGTCAACACCGCGGCTATTCTTCGGACCAGGGACGACGCCGCAGACTACTCATGGACGCAGAGGCCAACCTTTCGTCAGCCACGCTGGGCGCATGTTTAGATCCCTCCTGTCTTTTGTCGTCGCATGGTCTAACCGAGTCACTTGAGCCTCATTGAACCCATAATTTCGCCATCAGCGAAGATAGACTATTCTGAATTCTATCTCCTACTCTTTCTCACAGAGCGAGACCTTCTGCTTCGGGGTATTGTTTATTTTTCTTGTACGTACTCGAAACTCTCGAAGCCTTCCGTCGCCATTACCGGGAGCCACACAGTAGGTTAAGCTAAAGTCCCTCCCTCGCATTGGTCAGTCATTCAATACATGCGCAATCTAGTGTGATCCTAGTCGTGAAGCAGCCCTTTGAGCAACTTGGGTCTACTTTCAGTGTCTTTCACTGACTTTTCGATAGCTCCCCGGACGATCCCACCCCAACCACCATATCCCCGAGACTTCCCATGCTACAGGCGGCGGCTGCACGAGATACCGAGGAACGAACATGCGCGCGGTCTTTCGTGGACGCTTGGAATTGGAGCAGCTGATTGTGACTGCGTGCTCATTGCTGCATCAATGTCGCAGCCAGCCCAGGTGTTAAATAACTGCAATAACTTGACGCGAATAATGGAGGGACTAGAAGAGTAGTATTCCTTCGGGTGGATGTGCCGTCGAGTGCGAAAATAGTGAGCTGCTGAAATATCCCCAAGGGGGAACGTCATCTGGTCACCCGATCGGAAGATAGCTTCAAGATTTCGAGTGCTACAGCTGCGGAAGAAAGGCTGGTCAACATCCCTCTGAACACTCGGGATCGGTGTGTTAGGACTTTTAGCAAAGACAGTGACAGCAGTGTCATCGTCGCAAACACGTGAA